TCGAAGAACAGCAAACACTTGGCGCAAATGCTGCAGATGGTCGTCGAAACAGCTTGATAACACACAAATGTCGTCCAGATAGACAACCACGAATTTCAGCTTTGACAGCAGCGTCTGCATGAGTCTTGTCCATGTGCCTGGCATTCCTGCGAGACCCATGGGAGCAACCTTCCACTGATAGATTTCGCTACTCGTCCTGAACGCGGTATACTGCTTGCTATTCACTTTCATTCGCATCTGGTGATACCCGGATGCCAAGTCGATAACCGAGAAGATATTTGCACTTTGCATCTTGTCTAAGAGCTCTTCGATGTGAGAAAGCGGAATCTTTGGGACTTTGGTTTGACTGTTGACGTGTCGGTAGTCAATTACCCAGCGTATTGGCATCGTTGGATTGGCAGAACGGACCCATTCAAGCCTCGTCGGAAACTTGCCCGTTGTCGGAACTTTCTTTGGAGCTCCGAACCTTTTGGAGACCCAGGGTGAATTCGAAATCTCCACCCATACTTTCTATACCAAGTCGTCCACAAAGTTATCCAGAGCTTCTTGCTCCACCTTGGACAGGCGGAATGGCGCTCCGGTGGACGGCTTGGCGTCCTGCTTTAGCAAGATCTCATGTCGGATGTCTTGCCGCCAGAGCAAGACATCCGGCAATTGATCTGGAGAGACTTGGGGAAACTCGTCCAGCACTTGGTGGATTGGAGCCGGCACTGGCTCGGTCTCCTTCTTCTTGATGCTCATTGAGTAGACTTTGGCATAGTATCCTTGATTTACGCGTTCTTTAAACTCTTCTGACTCGACAGGAGCTAAGAAAGTCGGTAACTCAATCGTATGAGTCCTCCAATCGATTCTTGGATTGTACTGGACAAGCCAAGGCTTTCCGAGAATAATGTCTTGTTGCTCTGTCAGTTCCCACTCTGTCAATACCACGTCTTTGTAGACTTGTCCTTCCATCTTGATCTTGTCTGTCGAGCTTCCATCGAATCTCATCACACGCACTGTCCTCCTCTGATAGAGGTTCTGGCCCAAATGCGGTCGAATGATGTTGTGATCAGCACCGCTGTCGATCAGCTCTTTGACTTGTTTGCCTCCAATATAGGCATCCTTTCGAATTAGTTCGCTGGAGTTGTCCGAAACCGTTACATTGTTGATTTTGACATTCATGATGCCCAACTCCATCTCTTCATCATCGTCTTCATGACGCATTGCCGCATTATTCAATTGTGCTGGCCTCTGTCTTTGATTTCTCTTGTAGCATTTGGCTATTCTGTGTCCTGGCTTTTAGAAGTATAGGCACAGGTTTCGTCGAAAGCACTCCTCTTTGTTCAGCTTGGCATA